TAAGAAAATACCGATAGTTTGATAAGATACAGTCATATATAGAGAGCTAGTCCAGGTAACATTGTATGTACTCTTGAAAAAGCAGACTGTAGGCTCTCTCAGCTTCGCTCCTAGCTAGTGCGACCGTATTAGCTCAACCTATGTGCGTTTGTTAACGCAGACTATATATGTCAATACTTTCTCCCGTAAAGGGCAAGGCAAGTGACGTACTTGGTAGCACTCGTTGTAAATTCCATGAATGATATATGAACGGACTGCATCCTCTATGAAGGTGGAACTGATATGTTCAAACTCATTTCCTGGACCGGCAAAGTAAGCTTAAGGCTTCCATGGTCTTGGAGGACTGACGGCCAAAGAGTCAGATGTGGAAGTTGCTTGCCTGGAGGCATCGATCGATTTTGATATTGCTCTGGTGAGATACCTCCAAGTTGTCAGTTGGTGAACAGATTGTGCATACCGTAAGACCGATGATGTTGAGCGTCCTGGCCTTTAAGAGGTGAGTTGGAGAGGAAAACGAAAAAAAAATTAATTTGGCCATACTCGACACTGAGCAACAGCGCGTCGTGCTTGCGATCTTCTACCTAGGAGACTGCGCGCTGAACTTGGCATAGCCGTGCAATTTTTCGATAAATAGGCGTTCTTAAAGTGAAGCGACAGAGGCCACTGATCTTTGCTACGACTAATGAGGTGAATAAAATACTTGTCTTCTCATCAAGGGAGGCTATAATCGCGAAGTATGTCCATTGAATTTTGTACTCTCATCGCTGCAACGACGTCGTACTTTACCTCGGATGGAGAAACGGTTGCCATTTTACCGGGAATCTATGCATTGGAGAGACTCGCACTGACCTCAACCGCGTTCATCTTGCGACTTTTAAAAAAGCGGTACGTCATGAAATGAGTGCGGAGTACAATTTCCGTGTGTCAAGAACCGGATTTGATACCGGGATAAAAAATCAATAAATGCGCCAGATGCAATTAGCCTCGGCAATACTGAGAAGGGAAGGAGATGTCTATTTACTACGAAGCAGCTACACGGTACTCGAAGATGTTCATTCGTCGTATCATAAAAGATCTACGTCTAACGTGGCCTCTTCGCTCTCGTTTGAGATGTATGTAAAGTTTAGCTTTTACCTAAGTCGTTTGGCGAACTTTTGTAAGCTTTGAGTTTCATTATGTACAGGATGGCCTACTGTGAAAGATATATTGTACCTCGTAGAGGTCGAGGTCGAGACCAATTAGGATCTAGCTAAAGCAGAGAGACAGACTTTCTTGGAGAGATGAGGCTAAAAGCCTGTATGTCAATGGTCCGGGTTTCGTATAGATGTGAAAGGTTGTGATAATTAGCGGCGAGCCATAGAATAAGGTCATGCAATAACGTATGACGCGCGACTGAGACAACAGTAGACAGTAGGTAGGGGTAATGAATATACGAATACAGTCTCTATGCGTTTTGCAATGGAGACACTTGTGAAAAGATCGAAGGTATGATGAAATTTCGGATGAAAATCGCACTTTTGACAGCTTGAAACGCTGACTTGTCTAGACCTGGATAATAGATACTATCTCATCCAAGGTGTGGTGTGGCTGGAGTGTTGCAAGCAAAGGAACGGCTAAAAGTCTAAAAAGTCATCTTCCACGCACTTTTCTCGTGAAAAAAAATCATCAACACCGGGAGGCATACGCGCTTGGACGCGGGTACGAATCGCGGAACATGAGATTGCTCATATCCGATAGCAACGATGTTCTATGACGTCATTAGCAGAACTCGGAAGGGAAAAGCGGCAGTGAGTTGCAGTCTCGGGGTAAGACCAAGATGATATCATGTTGAGACGGGGAAGTATGACTGCAGCGAGGCTGCCGTAGCTCTTTGCCTAGAGGAAGCTAAGCTATGATTACCGATCTTACGTTCTTTTCAAAAATCAGTACAGGTGTAGCGGAAGACAACCCGCTAATTCCAAGTACTGGAGATCTTAACCAAGACAAAGAAGCACTTCTGTTCAAAATTGAAACTGTATTTAATTGTTTAATTGCGGCAGAACCGCCAATATTTAAAGCCCTTGGTTTTCCTAATTTATATAATAATAGCTAATTAATATCTCAAAATCTAATTCATAGAGTTACATGCATTACTACTGGCAATCCGGCCTCGTGGTGGCTTCTTGTTACGGTGCAGCCACACCACTGTGTGATTACACCAACTTGTGTAATCCATACCTATGTACGGTTGCACAATCTTGTGAGCTCGCCCTTTCATACAAGGGTACGTGTAACCCCGTTACACTCTCCCCCATTGAAATTATGAACATCCCCACTTCACATTGGACGGTCGCCTCATACGAGGCTCGCGTGTCTGAGACACCTTAGCGTTCTTCAAGAGCAACTTTAAACATTCTCCGCTCTATGAGCACTGTGTCTACGACGCGCAAAACACCCAGCCTAGCTGGTAGCTATAGTGCCCGCGGGCAAAGCCCTTCTTGTTCAGCACAGAGTGCATCTCCGGGCAGTACGTCCGCGGTTTCACGGGTTGCACATCCCGAACCATCGGCAACCGAGCGCAACACACTGCACCCGCCCAAGGCGACGGATTTCCTCGTCGATGAGATGGAGGAGGTTAACACAGGAGCAGCAATTGAGGTGCGGTTCTCCTGCGCTCGTATCCTCGTTTGGTCTAGAGCCCTCATGTGGAATACGGCTTCCGCTCGGCGGATCCCGCTATTGAAGCGAAAGCCGCAATCAATCGATCGTTAGGCTCCAACGTAGTCGGACCCCCAGCCACTATACATGCTGAGCTTGATCAGCGGAAAGGTCTGCGAGCACGCTTTATAATACCCAAGAATTCCCAATGGATCGATACCGCACTCGACTTCGAGCTTGAAAAAGAGGCGCTCCAGTACCCGCAATGCGAACCATCCCTGTGGTGCTCACCCCTGGCGAAACCGCTGCAGATTACGATGAGCTCTTTGAACGATGCGTGCAGCGGCACCAGAAAGTTTCTTCGCTGTCTACCTTACAGCGAAGCCACAAGGAAGTGGACGTGCGCGTTGAGCGCCATCTTAAGTTTGTGTTTGCCAAACCCAAGGCACGTCGCCGACTTCCGGCCTAATGTCGCCCTTCGGCATATGGAACGATCCATAACGCTCCTATGAGCCTTGCAGTCTCTCATACTGAGAGGTCTACGGCCACAGCAGCTCAGGGCCATAGCTTGAGCTCAGATCATCGCTCTTCGGCCTCCCGGGCTACTACCGATAAGCGCGATGCACAGGACGACGCGATGCGTCATGATCCTTCTAGTCATAAGCGTCTACGACGTCTTGACAGTCTTGCCGAAGTGGCACCTCAAACTCCCACGATTGAGTATCCCCGCTACTTCACAAGATATTGGGTTAAACCCTATCGTCGACGACAAACCCCACAAGGCGTTGTATGTAGTAGTGGACGCCACCATTCTCATCGAGAAGAGTCGACGGCGGGCAATGACGACTTGGTCGATCGCCGTTTGGTGATTCGCGATGCTCTTTGAGCGTTTAAGGACAAAGTTTATCGTCATTGGCATTCTGCCGAGCATCTCTCCGAGGTCGTCTACCGCTATGCGGAAGGCCTCGAGAGCCTGGAGCACTATACTCACTGAATGTATCACGTTGAGGATTATCGTGCTCTGTCGGAGCGGCTCCTAGCTGTCGAGCAGGCGAATACGTTACTCTGTGCAATGTGGAGCACCTAGCGCCGTCGGATTCGGAAAATGTTGCACTCCGTGCTCAGAACCAGTTGCTGTATCAACTTCTGGGTGGCCGAGCGGCTTTGAGCGCCGCCCCGGCGCCAACGCTTACGCATCGACTTAGCCTGGATCCTGGTACGGCTTAAGCAAGCCCACATAAAACACCAGGTGGGTGCGCATTCTTCTCGGAAGGTTTAGCGTATACGCTAGGCCTCACTTGGCCTAAACCGTGGACGGAGCTTCGTCTTCAAGACAGCAGAAACTACATGTGTTGAAAAGGTTTTTCGCATCATTGACCCCAATGTTTTCAGCAATTTTTCTTACTCTTCCGTCTACATGGCTTCGCTTTCAGCCATCGCGTCGCGATCGTGTCGTAAGACACCCATTCAGGTAAAAAAGAAGTCGCCGACTTGCTGACATCGGCTAGACGTTCAGCTCCCCCCATATAGCCTGAGCCATGGGATGGCGGCATTAGCTGGACGCGTGGGTTAACAGGCCCGTTCACGTAAAGCGACGGTTAGCTGGTAGATGAATGCACTGCAATGTTCGGAGCAAACTCTACGAGTGGCAACATAGCGCTCCAGCGTTTCGGCGTTTTAGCGCAGACGCTGTGAAGAACGTCTTCAACAACGCGATTCACGCGCTCAGTCTAACCTTCGGTCTTCGGATGGTCCGCTGTTGGCAAAGTCAACTTGGTGCCCAGCACCCTGAAGATTGTAGACCAGAACTTCCCATTGAAGCGCGGGTCTCTAACAGAGACAATTGACTCCGGGAGTCCATGTAGTCGAAAGACACAATCGACAAACAGCATCGCTGTACCCACACCGTCGATGGTCCCCGACACTGCCGTAAGATGTACCATCTTGCTCAAACAGTCCACAACGACCACCACACCCGTGTTGCCTACTGAGTCCTTCGGTAGGCCAAACACAAAGTCCATACTCATGGACTGCCAACACCCGGAGGGTACCGGTAAACTAATCAGCGGTGCCGCCGCATTCGGAGCGAATTTATACCCTCTGACGCGTCTCATACTTGCACACATATGAGCTCGTCCACTTGTACAGCTTGGACCACCAATACAGTCACACCTACACCAAATAATGCGGCCAGACGATTATATTCCACATATAAACGGTTCACATTGGGAGGGTAACAAATTTACCTGATTCAAAGTACTGAGATATGGCGGTCTGAGTCTTGCGCTGGATGCACTCTTTCCTGACAAACTCTGCTATTTTTACTTGAGCTCGTGTCTCTTCGTCGCAGTCGGGATGACGAGCTATGAACTCTGCAAGCTTGACATAGCAAGCAAGAGCCGCTGATGGTTGTATCGGGCTTTAGGCTCCGAGTCATTGTCACCCTCTTGATCCGCATCAAATCCAACTCGTTCGATCACATCCTGAGCACATTCAATGTTGAGACTGCGTCAAGCGTCAATGTACGCATCGACACCGTCAGTAACATGCATCTCCGTCATCAGCTCAGCAAGAATCCTTCCACGCTCGCATCCAACGCGCGACCATAAACGTCCTCCTGCCTAAGTCTTGGTATTGTCGACGTGGCAACAATGTTGCACCGCAACCAGCAGTTGCGCAGCACTTTAGCGGTCACTTTCCCCCAATTGGCGATCGCAAGCTGCACAGCCTCCAAAACATTCAATATCCGATTGACACCAGCATGCATGGCATCAAGCAGCCAACGAACGAGCTTGCGTCGATATCGAGCTTTCAATGATCGAATGATTCCTAGAACCGAGACGAATGTTAGTAGGCAGAAAGAACTGCGATACCGTATTGCTTACCTGCATTTAATAGCTGGATCAGTGATATCATGTTGGGTGGCAAAACCTTTACCGTCACATTCCGACATATATAGTTAACTGTGTGGTTAGATGCATTATCCAGGAGTAGAAGAACTTTGAGACCGTGCATTTTGAAATTGAAATGCTGAAGCCAAGTGGCAAACCTGGTTTGATTCTGCCACGCGGTCGGATTGTAGAAAAATTGGAATCGCATTGCTGAATTCTTGACTTGTCGGAACGCTCGTGACTGCTTCGCCTTGCCAATAACAAGAGCATCTTTTTTTCAGTTCCAGACGAGTTGCAACCGAATCCAACCGTAAAACGGTCTTTTCAGTTGTTGAACTATGTCGACCGACTGACGCGAGTGTTTTGTTGGGAGGAAGGCGGTCGCACAGCGCAGACTCGTCGAAGTTAAATACGTCTTCGGAGTTGTACTGGACAATGAGTTCTTGGAGCTGCTATGAACAATTAATCCCATTCTTCATTGAATTTGCGCCATTTTTTGATAAATGGCTTACCACACCCGCAAGTTCCGCTTTGTGCAATGGGTGGTGTCTCTGGTGTGAGTGAGGGGGAAGCTCGGCAAATCATTGCCTTCCAAATTGATACCGATTCACCACCATGTGCGGTTCCTCGCTGATTTGCAGGACCTCGTGTCAGCTCGCGACGAAGAGGCGTATGCGAAGCGCAAGTACAGGTCAGCTCTGGGCTCATTCATCATGAGTCGTGTGAATGTGATCACACGGGTGCGAGATGCATGGCAAATGCGTAAGATCTGCGAAAGAAATACTCAGATGCATGGCAAAATGTGTTCTATTGTTGACGATCATGCATAATTTAGTACTAAGCCTCTATCGAACGATGGCGTCTTAATCTTAGAATGTTCGAAGCTATAACCTCGCTTCCACGGTCCATTTCGAGTACTGTCATGTCATGGAAATGGTCGCACTATCGATCTGACAAGCTGGCTAAGGACACATCCAGCCTTCTACAAAGAGATCCTCAAGCCCTACTAATGCGACGTCACGACTTCCAACCTGGATGTAACGCAGTCTCAATAATAATGACTTCAAAACCACAGCTTCAGCTCGAGAGATAAAAGTCGAACCCCTAGGCATCATCGTCTCAGCACCATCCTCAGAATAGTGAGAGTCATTGTGAACGTCGGGAACAAACCTCGCGAGGGTAGGAGCGACGACAAGAGGTAGATGGCTGCTGACTGCGTTGTGGTGATTTCTACGGGAGTTCATGATTATGTTTACCCGAACCAGAGCGAGGCCGGTTAACAGAGGGCTCCACTTTGTCAGCAGCCACAGCAGGAGGAGGAACTTTAGAGCTTGCTCATATCGCCGAATTTGGTTCTCGGTTGAGTCCCTGGCGAAGATTCATGACGCCATGACGCCATGCGAGATCGCGGACTTCGCAGACGACCTGTGGAGTGTCCTCCACGCGCTGTCGCGGCCTCGTCACGCAACCGGACACTGCGATCATTTTCCAGTTCACCACGGAACGAAGTCTATCCACCTGCATCAGTTGCAACTCCAAATCAGACAAAGAAGCAGAGGGGACGCCATCTTCAGGACCATCTCTTCTTGATCGAGCAGAGATCGATACTACGATGTCGACAACGTGGTGACGAGGAGGAACGTCGTCGGTCAGAAGGAGCACTTGGGTAAATAGCTGGGGTATTTAGCGAGCGAGAATACCTGGAAGCCTCATATCGGTATTCTTCGCGACTGTCTTAGTATCGTTTGCCCGTTTGATACGGATCTAAAGAAGACTTTGCTTAGGGATTCATTCCGTTCCCTTCCTCCTACCCCTCGTCATAAAAATCTGATTAATGACCGCACGTTCTTCGCGAGCATCTTCTATATCGGAGTGGAACCAATCCTGCGCTTTTAAATTGGCAAATCAAAAGATCAAATCACGAATGTAGAGTACGTCTGCAGCAGTGTTCGCGTTTCACAAACGGTGGACACCCACGGATTCGATTTAACGAATTGATGACCAGAATCGAGGGTCAAGTATCTGATACTTTTGATCCACTTTGAAAGTAGGATCATTTATTCTTTGTCAAGAGTACTCTCAGTTGGAATTGCTGAATGTACGGTACGTACAAGATATTGTTTTAGTCTTCACCAGCACGTTATAGTTTCGATAGCGCGGAAATAAGAAGTTCGAGTCATCATTCTAGCTTATGATTGACTATAAATATCGTCAAACTGTAAGGTACCACCACCACGTCGGGCGTAAAATTTGTGGTAACGTTTGATTTCATGAAAGCGCAAATACACAACTTGTCGATGAGCTCTTCGTAACAGTCGTCATCCATTTAAGCTTTTTGTTCAATGCCAGGTTTTCGCTCAACGTGCAAAACGCCGTGCTACTTGGAATTGGAGCATTATCCAAGTTCGATGATGGCAAAGGCGCCTTCGAATCTTCGGATTGAGATGCGATTCCGCTCTGCAGTCGCCGTCGGCGCAAGTCGCCTTCGATGCGTTTCATTTCGTGTCGGATGACGAGTGACAGAGTCTCTGAGTCGGAGAAAATCTGAAGAAATTTTAAGGAAAAATGGATATACCCACTCTTGAGTGTGTGGGGGGGGGGGTCAAATGGGGTCAATACCATTGCACATGCTGTGTGAACCACATAGGTTAACATCAACTATATATCTTGCATAGCTATATATTTCTTAATTCTAAGATACACTAATCAGTTTAGGGAGTTTTACACGCGTATTGGCTATAAAAATTGTCACTTTGCCTTTTTTCTCCTCGTTTGCATAACTCGACAGCTCACTGGAAGCTTGCTAACCAATTTAAAGTTTTCTCAGTGAAAGCGTGTATAAGGTCACACAATTCCCGTGACAGGCTTGCTGAATTTAAGCACTGCCGGACTTGACAATCGGCGTGTACTGCTTCCGCATGGTGAGAAGTGCAATTATAATACTGTCTGATGCACATAATACCCATTGGATGCCACATTGAAGTAAAAAAGTATTGCTTAGCAAGTGCTAAGTATTTGTGGCTCTACAAAAAACCTGGTTAAGCCCGTACGTTGGCACGTGTGAAACGTGTCTTTGCCGCATGTGATGCCTGTCTTCCGGTTACGATTGATTACTAGCGTCCAGAAATAAATGCTTTATTTTCTAAAGATGTGACCGATACTACTGTATTGTGATCTTTGTCGATGGCCTGCCTAAGATGACTCATGGCCTTTCTGTTAGCGATGATGCGATTGGCAAGGATACCGTGAGCTAACCCTTAACGAAGTAATGTGCCAATGCACTTTCTGGTAGCCATTATATCGTATAGAGATCAGCGCTCTGTAGCAAAGTTCTGGCAAATATTTTCAGGGTGCTTAGTACAGAATTGAGTATTTTATCTGCTGACCTTCTACCAATAATTTGTTAGAGGGACCGCGAGATCTGCGTTGTCACGATCCGGCGCGATCTCATCTCAATTTTCCATCGAGAGGAGGCAGGCTTACTGGTTGCAGAACGCTTCCCACAAGTAGGAGGCGATCTACCTTGTAGTGATAAAGAGCCTTGACCTGCATTAGACTTTTTAAATTCAAGCATGCGGTGTCTAATCAATATTCACGTTGTAAAGACGGTCTTAAACGCCGACAGACGAAAGAAACGGCATGTCTTCGTTCCGTAGTGCGTAAACTGAGCCATATATTTAGCGCCACGTACGGCAGCAAATCTTAATTCCAAGGTACATCCCTAATCTATGGTTGAATTTTCCCCAAGCGCACACGGTCCTTAAGGAAAAAGTGACCTATGGGTTAAAGAAAGTGCTCGTGGAGCAACTTTCTCGCGCTCTTTAACTCCTGGTGTGAGAGTGAGGCAAATCTGCATAGGCGGATAGCTGCTTCGAGACAGCGCAACGAACGACTTAGGGCGTTTTGAAATCGTAGCCACGACGTGATTCGGGCATAAGTGACAACTTCAATAAGCAATATAGGCTCGTATAGCAAGGTCCAGTTTGTTCGGAACGAACTGACAATTGTCGTGTGCTGTGTCAAAATAGATGAAACAAATTAAAAATAATGTATCCAACATCTCAGTCGCGACTATCTTATGTACTTAAGTATAATGCATTCGGTACAATTTTACAAAGTTCAATTATGACTTGATTAAACTTAAATATTCGTTAATTTCGGAAATAGGAATTTATGATTATTACCGAGCTCCGAAACGTGGGCTACTCGTCGTACGTATGAAAAGAGGACAGTTGACGCGTGAGAGACAGTAATATATTATTCTTATTATTAGTCTAAATAAACCCGGTCTTTTATATATGTATTCTTGACTTTTAAAGCAAATTTTATGTTTTGATTACTCTAAAGACTTTTAAATCTGGCTCTTTGTAGAAGTACATTAATCCAATCTCTGTGTGATTCTTAGCGCGTACATTGAAAGCCCAAGCTCCCTCTGAGCAAAAAGCATGATAATCCCGTCGCACCGGCTAAATACAACTATTTGCTTCAGTGTTATTTAAGCTTGATTTGTGGTGCCATTTGTCAATTTTGAAAGTTAGGAACAAAATTTGTCTTCTACAAAACAATTTTCCCCCGAGAGACTTATGAGAGCAGGGTTGTGGTACGGCTTTAGACAGACAGCACACTAAATACAAATGCACTCGCATTTTTTGAAATCAGTGTTTCATTAATTGTCGTGTTCGAAACAGATTCGATGTGGCGAGTCTCATTTACCATATAGACCTCAAATTATGCAGCCGCAATCGGATTGCACCGTCAAATTAAGCCTGTCCTTTCAAAAGATGTGTATTTAATTTATCACCAATTTCATATATATATTGCTTTCAAACCTTCTGGCTCTCCCCAGCACAGTCACCGCAACATCGTTTTTTGTGACGCTTCGGCGTTTACCACATGCTAACTTTGATTCGAGCTGATGCTATCGGGCATATCCGCTTTAGTGTGTATGAAATAGATCAGCAGTAATCAGCGGAAATGATCTACCCAATTCAAGATACGAAACTAATTGTAATCAGGGATGCTGTTGTCAACTTCAGGTAGTACCTGCTCAGTTGATACCGAATGATATCTACATGTCATAACACACGTCAAGATTGCTATCCTTGTTCCACTATAATATATAAGGCTGGTCTGCTTAATGTGGTGGTGGATGTGCTTCGAGTTATCTATTCTACGAGCCGTCGCATCATCCGATAGTGACATCCTGCATCTATGAGGCAAAATGCACAGCGCAAATGTCAGATATACCGTGTATCGTGGTGTTGATAGAATTGTAAAGCAAAGAAGCTTTGAACTTTCGTGCCTCTTTATCAAAAATTTCGTACGGGTTTGCATCAGTATTCATTATATCAAGACTAGCTGGATTACAGCACTGATTCACTCGGCACACAGCGTCTGGTGGTTTTATATAATAAATAGTAGGACATCACGCAAACGTAAACGCTCTGCGAGCAACCCAAAATGTGTTACTGAACTGTAACCAGCCGTGCATGCTCTCATAAGCATGATTCTCATCGGGTGTTCTGTCTAAATATGTCTACAGGGCTCAACTAGCCACTGAAAATGGCACGACTGATGCAGTTGAAATCGTACAACTCAGACTCGGTAAGACAGACGACGTTTCTCGATCAAAGCGGTCATATTGCCTTTCCAAGTACTATCCCTGTACCTGTACCTTCATCAAGTTAAACTTCAAACTCGTTGTGCCTTCTCGAGAGTTTCATAAGAAATCGGCGATTCGTTTTCTCCGGATCAATTCTGCACTACCCTACTGCTGCAGCTTGCTTCTGATCAGCTGATCCTTACCCAATAAATTTGGACTTGCCCGTCTTCTCGTTCACAATCATTGTGGCTCTTGACGACCTCATCATAATCTTTTTTTTGATCGGTAGTTGCCCGTCGCATCGGCACGGCGACCCAAAATGCTTGTATGTCGCCCACCCTGCTCGGAGCGAAACCAATACTCTTAAGTAACTTCAAACGCACTGTATACGCCCAGAGGATGCAGCGGTTGCATTCCTCCCCGAGGACCGTGCCTCTAGGATAAAGCGCTGCATAAGTGCTGACGAGAATTGTTTCAGTTGTGGAGCAAGGCTTTTTCTCCAGTGAAGATAGATACAAAGAATGCGTCGAGTCGATGGGCGGCAACGATGCCAAATTAATGTTGCTGATGCAGGTTGCCGAGCATCTATGTAGTCTTTTTTGGGCATTCTTCTTCACTTCACAAAACCTATATAAAAAATGGCACACCAGCCGTCCACTATCCACTGAAGTGGGTAATACTTTGTTTGTCAAAAAGAAGGGGCGATGGTACGACTGCTCTCGCGAAGAATCGTTCCAAAAGGATGTCATAGTGTGCTAGTGTACGATTATAATGACAGCTTTCAAGGCCGTGATGCAAAATCGAAAGCTTCTCACTTTCTGCCCGTTTGAATTTGGCTCGCTCGCTTAGAAAGTTTCGAAATTGTCTTAGGCTGTACACTACTCTGCACAGATACCAGAGAGCATGAGCTCGTCACCGGGCTAAAACCCTGCCATATTTTAGCATTTTTGGAATTAAAACAACCACTTGCTCAAAAGTTGGCTCTTGTCAAGTGTAGGATTCATCCACTAGGCTATGATACATTCATTAATTATACAAAGGATAGATTGATACGCATAGAGACGTCGTCATCATCTTTTGCAGAGATGATAAGATTATCGAAAAGCAAATTCTGAGTACACCTTCGAGATTATATACGAGCCAGATTGGCCTGACGTGGCGAGATATATACTTTCGTAGCGTATCTGAACAGTCTACAGACATCCCTTGCACCAAGCACTTGTGGTTAAATGTGTATTTTACTACCAGCTCTAATGAGCATACTACACAACTGGGGCTCGCTCTAGAAATTACTTGATTAGCTCAGAAAAAGCAGCTAAAAATGGCGTGGATCGTTCGGTCGATGCCTCGATAGCCATGTTTGGTGAGGCAACCAAGGAGCCTTTGATTGAAATCGATCGGTGTGACTGTGTTGAGATTATTGCATGCCACAATGGTGACTTCGAGCATCAACGAGGCAGTTGTATACGGGTGTGATCGCGTTGTGTATGCAATTATCAGCGGCTCTCCAGGATATTAGCGCTTGCCAAAGTAGAATTCCGACCCACACGACACTCGGCTTGTTAGTAGAATGACAATGCGGACCTCATGTACAACGTTTTGTGCGAGAAGAAAAATCACTCATGCCGCCTCATCAGTAGAAAATATGGTAGCGCTATGATCGAATAGACTAATTGTATGACTGTATTTGTTGGCGTCATTGAACAGCCTTCCGATCTTGGTAGTCCATTAGCAAAGGCTATTTTTTGCTTTCAAAAGACGCGTCACCCAATACCACCATGACAGTTTTTGTGTGAAGTCTGAGCAGGACTATTGCTGACGGCAACGGTGTTGCAAAAAAAAAATTCCGGCCAGCATGTTTCTCAAAAATGGATTTAATCAACATTGCTTCCCAGTGTTTGACATGCTATTTACCATACCAGATCTGTGATCTGCTGACCATACGGTAACAGACGGTCAGACAAAACGCGATGATCACATGGTGGACTATATCTTTCAAAGTATTTGCAAAAAGAGAACTCAGTGTTAAGTCAAATGATCCACCTTTTGAGTATGCGTTAAATGACACGGTTTTGCAGACCGTGTCCTCTTGCCACGACAACCGGTCTTAGTGGAAACGTTATCATCACAGCCTGGCTTGCTGATATCAGCCTATCATACTGGCCACACTTCAGAGCAAACTCGAGAAAATTAACTTGACGGTCTACCGCCAGAAAAGGCCATGCACGAGGCTTTTTAAGAATCTAGAGAACCGTTAATTTTGCATCTTATTACATACTCACCTTGAGAATATAGATGCCATATTGGCAGATTATGCTCTAGGCTTGTGCCTATAATAAATCAGCCATGCGTCAAGCCACTTTCGTAAATTTTTCTTAGATAGTGACACAGACCAATATCTATGCGTTGGCCTTTTCAGATGACCATGCTTTCCACCTGCTACATTAAATCCGCGGAGACTCTAGCACAACTCGTCATATAGATGACGACATTCGATTTCTTGCGCGCTGTGAAACACGCTTATATGAGCGTATAAATCATCAAAAGAAGTATGTGACTATGCACGACGCAGTCTAAACATCTTCCTTACAAAATGTCGTCATAAGATGACGCAACAAGATGCTAAAATACAGCTTACTTGTTGGCCACTTTCTGAGGCATAGATATCCGTCCACTGAGCGTCATGCTCGAAGTACGCACTGCTTAGAGATATAGTATTCCGGCGCATGCGAAGTTGATAGTATGAATACTGTCTTAGTCGAGATCACAGCTAACATGCTGTATACAGTCGTGGCTTCGATACAAACATGCACAATTTGCTTATTGCTATTAGACTTTCTTACACAGACATTCGATGCTGAATGGATTATTATTACTTGCTCACTAGTCCGCTTTTTTATGATGTAGCTTTTTTGTAAGAATTTTTGGTGTATAACGCGCGCGTTTAACCCCAAGAGCCGCGTAATCCTCATAACAGATACCCTTATTTCTTGCAATACCCGAGGCGGGTCTCTTAAAATAACCACACCGGATTCCTTCAACAGAGATATAATTTGCTGAATTTTCTGAAAAGGTAATCCAGTTGTCGCACTCAGAACGTGCTGGTGAGGAATGACCAGCAGCGCGCCGACCAGGCGCCGGTGGAGAAACAGTTGGTTCCCACAGTCAGACTACATATGATGATCGTTCAGGTCCTTGAGATGTAAATCTCTCTCGCTGGATTAAAGAGGTGTATTGGCCTTGTTCTCTTACGCTCTCCTCTCCGTGATTTGCGCGTGAGGATGGTACTTTGCGCACATTCTTCGGTAAAAGAGGCACTCCTGTCGTGGGACGACAGATGTAGCAGGTGTTCACACCGCTTTATAGGGCGGAGCGGTGGCTTATGAATTTTTGTCCAACTTATCAACGAAAGCGGAGACGGCGGTCTATCCAGGAGTAGAGAGGTTAAATGCTGGGATGAATTCTGAGGTAGTAGCTTTAACCATCATCCTGAAAGGTCTTCGAACGGATGTGGCTCGTGCAAATACCGAAATTGTTCACCATTTTTCATCAGTTAAAGGGGATGTCGGATGTGGGCAAATCTTCCGAATCGTGAAGGCCAGACGACGTACTTAAAGCAGAAGCTTTATGAGCATGGCGCTTCATCATGCAGATGTGGAAGATGGATTCCATCTGCAGTAGTGCCCCTTGCGCTCCTCCTTCGTTCTGGGCTGAAATGTACAAAGGTCGAACACCCAGGATAGAACAGATGACGAACTCATCACAAAAAAACGCTTTTAGTTAGCGGTCTATCTACTTAAAATAGGTTGCATTGTCTTTTGTGGAATCGATTTGAACAAGATCTAGATCTATAAAACTTTTTATAAGAATGGTGAAGATTCCTGCCGAGGGTTGTTGGTTGTTGATATCTACATTCCGGAATTTGTGAAGCCGTAGAACATACTAATAAATTTAAAAGCACTGAGCAATCACGTAAAATACGCATAGAAGATGCTAGATACAGATACAACAGATGCGTGTATTCCTGCGCATGTTTCGCAATCATTTGTGATCAAAATTTTAATTGTGTTACAAATTGTAGCCGGACAGATATCAGGAAGTCGAGTCTATTCGACAGCCCCCTTACTTAGACTGGAGAAGTTTCATAGAGGTGTCATAGCATGGCACCACACCATTGACGAATTTATAATCAATATGAGTTTTTGCAAGTGTGAGTCCGATCACTATGTATACATCAAGCACATTGACGGTAATATGGTCACTGTAGTGCTGTACGTAGATGATCTCATCATATCAAGCAGCAACAACTCGCACACAAAAATTTACCAATTCATTCATATACGATGGGTCAGATATCTACTGCGTTGTCAACACAAATTAAATGTTCGTGAGTAACTCCCCCCAGCACAACAGCCTGGCCTCAAAAACGAATTAATGATTGTCCTCCACAATGCGTTACAAGCGTTACGTCTATCCATCTTGGTGATGAGCACCTTAAGAAATGTCGACCAAGACTTCGGTGTATAGCATTCGTCTCATTACGTTACAATAGGAACGGGTGAACCATGATGGCATATACTTTGTCAAGGAACAGCATGGTAAAATCATCACCTGTCACATTTTCGCTGATATCAGCGGGATAAAGCCATTTGATCAAACTGCACACAATTAGAGCAGTGGTGCTTATCGTGAGCGCGTCGTTGAAATAAATAGGCTGGTCAAAGGTGCGTCCAAACGCAGCAAGAGTATAATGCGCTGACAGGTTACACACATGCGAACACATTTGCTAACAATATTGCATGTTTGGCTAGCACTACAGCATTTTCTCTGTTGAGGAGGCCATCCAAGAAGGTGCCTCCTTTCTCTTACAGTGTTTTGTACTTGAGGTCCTCGTAAGGAGGCACTTTTACGCGCTGAATGTCATGCATATCACTGCTGAAATATCACAAGTATTGGATAAGACATGGCAGTGCAGGTGTGCAACCCGCTCGCTTCGATGAAGCGACGTCTGATTTCTTAATGTTCGCTCTCCAAGCTTCCAGATGCACAGCATGTGATACGTCTGACCCGTACGCCCTATGTATCACCTCATCGGTTGGTGACGTTTATCTAATGCTACCATCCGTGCCCTTCACGACTGTGAACGGATATATTATCGCAAAAGCCTGCGCATCGCCATGATGTAGTCTGAAGGTGTGATACCAGAGGACCGGACGTCACTGGTGTATCAAACAATAATCAGGCATTCCTAGAACATGGAGTTTAAATATGATGGCCACTTATCAGCAATTGAAAATACCTATCGACTAAGTCGATGAAGCTAAAGATAGTGCGACCGACCCTGTTATTCTGCAGCACAATCCTTCGAATATTCAGCGTTTGCGGCTCATTGATTAATGCATTTATCTAATGTTTAGCTCACATGGTTTGCTAGGTGCCTTTAGGCGTTCTAAATTAAAATCTTCGCGCAGAGGGTGAGGTTCTTTTATCTCACCAATCCCGCTTCTTGCTTTAGAAAAATCGTTATTAACGTCATACTGTTCTTTGACTATGGGCCATTGATGTTTTACACAATTTTGGTTTCGGTAACCAAGTCAACTGCATAACGGCTTCTGTAAGACGCGCGGTAAATCTCTCTAATATTTTTCCTGCAAATTATTGATATGATCCGTAAAATGTTCGACCTTAGCTGTCTTACTCCTCGCACTCACTGCTCCTCGATTACAGGTTCATCCATCAAACGTTACGAGCTTAGCTCCTTTTCTAGTAACAACTATATCGTTCGGTGACGTCACTATTTTCTAAATCCTTGCAGATATCGTAAGGTGATGATTTTTCAGCAATTAAAGTACTAACGCTGAAGGTAGTGGAGGGAGACTCACAAGTTCTCTGGCAATCCCCAGATCTACATTCACGATGATGGATTCGTTTTTGCGTGAGGCTTCAATGCTTTGCACGGTGATGTTGTCACACGGTAGTGCTACTCAGCGGTGCCGTCACGTTATGTCAAGGATGATCCATCTATTACCAACTTTAGGGCCTGGCACTTCCACTTGCGACCTAGAGTTGCCTTCCAACTTCACTGGCTTTGGCAAGAAGAATTTTGAACCCCATCGCAGGTCCGTGCCCGCGCGAAAACCGCATCTGTTCCTTGGCATACTAAATAATGCTACACCAGAAAAAAAAACTTTGGCACCAATTTTTGTTAGTTTGGTAGACCCTGATATGTATGTGCCCATATGGTTGGAAGCCAAGACGTATAACACTTAACACGCTAATGCTGAGGCAGGCGGAACACGTAAGAATATAGTGTGGTTCTTACGGCTTTGAGTATGAGCAACAAACCTACCTACACATGAAATGTATGTGGTCTATAGTAGCAGAGATGATACGCACTTGTATTCGAGATTAAAATGCATCCAAACACACCACGTGCTAATTGTGGGGTAAAAGGCTTTTTTAAAAAATAAGCCTAACGCACAGTGTGTGCAATTCAAATGACCATGTTGCGACCGGGCTACATCCGACCGTTAACCGTCAAAGAGAAAATATGATTGAGTCAAGATTAAAATTTCCGATATCGCGAAACTATGTCGCGAGTTTTATGTCGTCGTACTGAGGCCATACGACGATGTCGCTATTACAAGCCAACTGGATGTAAAGCGTTTTTTAACAGATTTAGCAGCGTCCTCACCATTCTTTGTAGCCGATTTTCCCTATGGCCCAACGCATCTGCGCACAGTTATGAGCTGCCGGAAAAGCCTCAAGCCAGGGTTGATGATAACAACGCTCCTAGAGCACATCTGAAACCTGATCTATCTTGCCGTGATTCTTTTAGTGAGTTGACCTCCGCTGGTGCTGATCGGTCAGCAAAGATGGCCCGCTTACACAAGAAACCTTTGGTGGGTAACATGCACAGGAATCACTCTCAGGTATCTCGGCAGCATTATTTCACCATAATCCCAACCAGTCCTGGTGATAATTGCACCGTTAGCTAATTTATCTCAACGTCCGCGTATTTTGCAATTTGAAGCATGACTTGTCGCTCCAGATATATGCCCGCTTTACTGAAGCTGCTTTGCATGGCCTTGATGTGTGTGAGATGGCGTGTTTTCTCACCCAGCGCGTAAACTAAGCTTGATAACCATCGGCATTTGGCAGCTTCAAGCATTCAAGGTTTACCCTACAAATTCTACTAGCCGTAGCTGATCTGAGCGCAGACGGTCCGATGACATGTGTGCTGAGAAAGCGCTCTCGACGCAAAATTCTCGCGTTTGTTAGCTATTGGTGTGACCAAAAGTCTCGCATGCACAGGCGTACAAGGGTTCCACACCAGCGCAGCGAGCGGCTCCAGACAAATTGAAGTCGTCATCACAGTGAAGAAATCGGCATGACTCTTGCGCTGAAAGTAGAGCAAGATGAGCTTCTTTAGCAAGATCGAGCGCTTGTTAACGAACTTAAAAATATCGTGAGTTCCAGGAGAGCGCTTTCACACTTTCTGCCGTTCGACAGGTTCAGAGTACGAGACTGGTGCAGTGAGCGCATTGAGCGCTTTGAGCGCCTATTCTTCAAGAACGGCCAGGCCTTGTGTCACCGGGTGAGGGCGGAGGTGTTTAGTTGAAACCGAAGAGCCGCTGGAACTGGTTCCATTGAATAGCACATGAACAATCTCACCGGGGTATTTACGCAAGTTGATCGCTAGGACTGCTCCTTTTTATGAGCACGTTGAAGGTGCACGAGAGATGACTTTCGATACAATTATGCTCTGAGATGCAGGTACGGTATATTACAACGAGTGAAATTAGAATCTAGGCACAGTAATTACCTATTAGGGGCCACTTATATAAAGTGTCTTATTAAGACAAGATAAGTGTGAACTCTATCGATTTGGGGTTTAACAAGACAAGTACTATAATCGTGTGTATACGCATTTGGTACAATTATAACTATTGTCAGTCTAATATTGGAAGTGATGGTGATATCTGTATACATTTAAAGTAGCATTAACTATAAATATATTTATTTTTGAGCTAGCACAGCTAAAAAGACGGTGAAGAAACTCGACTCCCTTCCTGATAAAAGTGTTTAAACTCACCTGTCCGCGTTTTTCACGCGGACTTCAAGAGTTAAAATTCTTTAAGCAGCACCCACGGCAGCCCTGTTGCATTTCTGCAAGTGTTTTATTTAGAATAACGAGCTAGATATGATATAAAATGCGTTTGTTATTATTTAAAATGATAAATTTATTTTTAATGCATGACGTTAAGCTAGCAAGCATTCCACGTGACCCACCGTCCTCTCCGGTATATAGTATCGTCACCTTATTCGTACGAGGTATTAAAAATGAATGGTCTCCGATGTTAAACGAAAATAAGCTCGAAACGAAATCGCACTTAACGTTCTGCAGAAGTATCTTACCAATTTTGTTGAAGTATTTGAGCTGTGTCCTACTTTGAAATTAACCAATAAAACATACATGGTAACTTCACTGGCTACTTCAGTTATAAAAATTCGTTTTAGCATTTCGTATTTACTGATAATATCGTACTGTAATTTTTCTTGCAACCACTAACGCACTCGAAAATCCACAAGGAACGATGAATAAACTCAAAAAGCGCCCTCGCGTCTCGGGCAAAGCGTCCAATGACAAGATCGACCAAAATGAAGAGGATTGCAACATGGAATTGATGGATGAAGACATGGAGAGCAGTGATTCTGAGAATGACCTCACTTTTTATCCAAATGACAGTAAGGAAGTTGCCGACGGTTCGGACGACATGAATGGCGGTGAGGCTGCAGCTGTTGCTGGTGGCGGCGTTACCATGGATTTTATCTTTTCAGATCCGCGCGAGACTCACTTTCACAGTGTCAAGCAATTCTTGCTCGCCTACCTGCCGTCCTCGCAGCCATTTGATGTATCTGGACTGGCGAACGCCATCGTGGGTCAAGTCACAGCCGGTACTATGGTCTGTGCTGAGGGCGAAGATGATGTTTATGGGTTTATTACTGCCCTAAATATAAAATCTTTTGCTCACGAAATTAGCATCCAACAGGTCCTGCAGTACGTGACTAAGAAGTGTCCGTGTGCTGAATCGCCTCAGCTCTATCAGATTCTGAGTAAGAAGACTGTCGGGCTCGTTATTAGTGAGCGCATGGTAAATCTGCCGTATCAGCTGGTGCCGGCTCTGCACTCAGCACTACACGAGGACATAGAATGGGCAATGAACAATGAAGACACAGAGGAGCTGCGCAACAGTTTTAAAATGGATTATTTTCTTATCTTAGCAGCATGCACAGAAGAGAAGAACAGCAACAGTGTCTCTAGAAAGGACAAAAAGTGTAAAACGACGAACGAGCAAGTAAACAAGGTTTATCATAAGTTCGAAGAAGAATTTTTCGAGCAGGAAGCAGAGCTGTCTTTCTCGTTCGAGGTCCCATCGACCGACCGCGAGCGCGTGGGTAAGAGTAGCAAAACCACCGTTGTTTTGTTAATTGAGCGCAAAAAGCATAAGGCAGCATTGGCCAACATCTCGGCCATGATCAACGCGTAACTCATATTTTGTCACGATTATTGCAATTTAATATCAATAATTATCAGATCACAAATCGTTTCGGTGGCGGATAGTATTTTTAAAAGTAATAGCCACATCTACAAGAATATTACACTTATTTCTTGCTTGTGATGTTTGTCAATTTTGTAGTGAATGTAACCTCGTTGCTGTCGGATTGTGTCCAGCTATCTAGCGCATGATATTTCCCCCTGACTATCTATGAAACGACCTAATAATGAGTATTGCAACTTGGTTTTGTGCATGGCTCTTTTGTATGCACAGAGCTTCTTGGCGATAATTTTAGCCGAGTTAGCAACACACGGCACAGTCTGAGCAGTATTTGTATTTTATTGGCTGTAACGCGACGATCCCATGTTTGCATCGTCCGTTATTTCTTCACTAGGCAGCAAGCAAAATTTCAGTTTTTTAAAATGACTCTTAGCGTTTGTGCTTAACGCGGCATAATTTATTTCGCTTTGTCGCACTTCTACAAATGATTTTCCAACAGGAGCACTGTTTCGAATGAAAGCTAAATATTTCTTAAATGGTCACTGCAAACTACGACTCCGCTTGAGAGTCATACTTGCCATTTAATTTCCATTGTAGCTCCATTTTGATGGAAAGGTCTAGCGCGATCGCATTTGACACGATTGAGAGACAGAGGAGGGAAGGCTGCCAGCTTCTCGACAAGCAGTTTTATTTGTTGTTGATGGACAGAAAGATTTGGCTTCGACAAGGCCACTGACCCATGTTGAAAAGATCCAGGTAAGTCATGCCGGTGTCGAATTTGATCACCCGTCAAGCTGGTTTTCAGTAATGTAAAGCTAGAATGAGGCTCCTCTTTTTTAGCCACGCTGTCTTTTTTGACAAAATCTTGCAAATAGCATGTTGAACTTTGTAGCTTTTTGGCGGTCAATTTTGTTGGCAAGATTGAATTTAATGTACATGTCATCTTTGATTCTAGCAACTTTGGATAAATATTGCTGCAAGTTACTTGTAGTAGTTTGGTAAGACAGTAAGTTACAGCGCAAAAGCAGGTAAAAGTAAACAAACCTCTGGAATTTGCCTGACTTGACATTCCAGCATAAACTTTTCAAGATGTTGCAGCTCAGCTATTGCAGGTTCAATCATACTTTGATTTTTTTTTGCATATGTGTACTTGTTAGATACCTCCCAATTAGTAGACATACTGTATTGTCGCTTCATTTGACCTGCTCCTGCAACGTGTTCATAAGCTGTTTGATTGCCTTTTTAAGTGGCCGAGAGAGAAAATCAATCACAGACTTGTTCTGTCGAGCGACGACTTTATTATTTCCCGCACTTTTGTTGTGAGAAATGGTGGACTTTGACTTGGTGTAAACCGCCACCGCTTTTTCTCGCTTGGCCTGGGTATAAAGCAGCACAGATTGCTCACTTGCTGCCGATCATTGTCCATTTTTTGCTTTTATGGGACGATCCAGAAAGATGCTTTGCAAGCTTCTTAACTTTTCGCTCTTTTCATGTGACTTCATTGTCACTTGAAATATTTGTTTTTTTACCATCATACTCATTGGTGAAGCTACGATTACTGCTGTTGCTGCTGTATGACCGTAAGTCTTCTTCTTCGTCACTCCAGCTCCTCATGCTTTGTGGAACTTTAGCCATAATTCAAAGTGAAGTGTCTCTTTGACGATTACAGAAAATGCTGGGTTACGACAGACTGAGAGCTAGAACAATAAAGTATGACAGAATATTAGAAAAAAAGGATTGTTAAATATTGCTGAGAGACCTTGGAATTCAAAAGCGATTGTGAGCAGCGGTCACCAGATTGTTTTTTGAGAACACGCTTAATAACAACTGCAAAGCTTTAGCCCCAGTTATTAGTTCTGGTTAAATGGATAAGAGAGACTGCGTGCGGCAGAGTGCCTTTTCTCCGGTAGAAAATTCTATTGTGGCAGGTGTCAGAGGCCGCAAGTTGAAGAGCCGTCTGCAACGGCATTGTACAGAAGAAAATTTAACTCTTAGAGTCCACGTTAACAAATGCACAGACGTTGGGCCTACAAAATGCGAAATTGAGTGTGTAACGGAGCAAGTGCTGTAATCTTATTTACAAATCCTTACATATCTGGGACAATTAAAATTCTTTCTGGTGATGAAAGCACGAAAGTGCAAAACGGTGAGATCAACGACTTTTTGGTGATGGTAACAGAGAAAACGCTCAGATTATGGTTCAGTTCATCATAGAAGATTCCAACATGTTAGCAGCGGCCATCCTCAAGGATCCAACGAATTCATTTATCACATGTTGATCTATACCACGCCGTGATGAGAATCCATCGACACATGTAATACTCCCGGGTCTGGGAGGGCATCGTCAGATCGAGCATTTTTTAAAACTAAATGTTGTGTCGTATGTCAATCTCCTTACCAAGAAAATGGGACATCATATACGCATTTATACGTGCAGACCATGAAACGGGCTTGGTAAGAGAGAGTAAATCGGCGCCAACTTTCTACTTCAAGAAGATTAATAAAAAGCTCTAAATTTTTGTGCTATGCGTTGAATAAGCTAGAAACAGCCATTTTATCAGCACAAACGACAACTTTGAGATCGTGTGTGCGTCAAGACAATATGGAGAGTTTATTTTTTAAGAATGTCCAATCTAGACGATGTAACGGGACAGCTGGTTACACGCACTCTTGCGCTGAGGGAGCGAGTTTAGCGGGTCGCAATCCGCTTGCTCTAAGAGTAATTATTGCCTTAACCCAAGGCTAATTTCTTCTTCCGGTTAAATCCAAAATTTAGTTTATTTATTTTTTATCTGCGGCAAAACCGCCTACTTTTAAATGTATAGATTTTCCTAAATATATTTAAATACATGCATAAGTACTGACTACCCAGCCACGTACCGTATTCTTATTTGGGTGCAGTCACACCATGCCAATCTCGTGTGACCCACACCCTTGTTACCAGGGTACGTGTAACTCCGTTACACTCTCCCCCATTAAGATTGAGAACATTTAGGGATCCAATCGATTATTGCCTCAGCGAGGCTTGCGTGTCCGCTAGACACAGCAACTTTCTTCGTTGGAACAAAACGACTTCCGTGCTCAATGAGCCCTGTGTCATCGACACTGAAGTCACCAAGTCTCGCTGGTTCTGACAGCGCACACGGGCAGAGGCCAACTTCGTCTCCCGCACGCGGTGCAATGTCGGAAAGTGCGCCCGCGGCTTCGAGGAATGTACATGATAGGCTCGATGAGCACGAGTGTCGCGCTCCGCGCACGCTGTCAGTGACGAGTGACCTCGTTGAGGATGTGGAGGTGGTCATCTACGAGTCGTACACTCCTTTTCCCGCGTGGGATGACGAGGAAGGCGAGCCGCGCCAGCTGCGTGAGACGAGCCCTGCTCGTGACTTGCGGACCCCATGTCCGCTTCCCGACTTCTCGTCACCTGAGGGACGTGGTATAATCACCAATGAACTCGACGAAGCACAGAGGCGGCAGCTGCAAGCTGCCCGTAAGGCGGCTCTGATTCGTGCCAATCCACGGCCAGTCATTGAACCTCGTGTGGAATATGGCTTCCGCCCGGTGGGTCCCGCTGTGGAAGCGAAGAACGAGGTAGCTCGACCGTTACGCCTTCATATCATCATGCCCCCGGCCATTACGAAGGATGAGCTTACCGAACGGAAAGCTCTTCGAGCTTGCTTCTTGATTCCACAAGAACTGCTATTGGACGTT